TTTTTTTTTGTCCTTGTGGAAAGAGACGAGTCAAAATGTAGAAGCTCATTCAATTTGAATATACCCAATATGCCGAGTTGAAGAGCGCGTTACTTTGCGTCCTTCCCATGGGAAGGACAACCCCACCCTAGTAGCATGATGGCTCTGGACGCAAGGCGAGCAAGTCCTCTGATCGGGCGATTTCTTGGTCTTGACTGAAGCATGGGTTTTGGTTCACCTGTCGCGATTCCATAACAAGTTCAAATTGACAGCAAGTAACATTAACTCAACTGCAGCTCCCCACCAATAGATTGGAGCCAACTAAAAAAAAAAACTCAACTGACATTAACATAATAAGGATTTGGAAATAGAGAGTTGTCAGACTCTTGAAAATCACTTTTTTTTTTTTTTTTTTAACCACTTTTCAATTTCCATGCACTGCAAGTCTGAGGGCATACTCACACAACGACTTTCCTGCAATGATTTGACTGCAATTACGGCCAGAGCTGCCGTAATTTGACAGCAATCACGTCCATCCGTGGCCCAAGTCCCCTCCCCCCCTCCCCCACCCGACTCATCCCTGCCCCGGCTCCTGTAGTCCCCCCCTCCCCATCTCCCTCCGCCTTCCCCCCAACTCCCTCATACACCTCCACTGCCTCCTGCTCCCCCTCCACCACCTTTGCCTCACCTCCGTTCCCCCCCTCCCTCCAATCCCCCCACTCTCCCCCCATCTCCCCCCCCTCCTCCCCCCCACATGCACCCAATTCTGCCAACTCAAAGTCCTGGCTTGGCAGAGAGGAGAACTGTGAAGCATCACCCCCCTACAGACAGTTGGGTGAACAAGACACCGGCGAAGATTCTTCAGATGCCCAGAGACAATGTGGCAGCAGTTGGCACAAGGAGGCATCGGCCATAATCTCAGTCAGGTCCTTCAGGTCATCCATTAAACCACCCGTACTTGGGCCAGCTATCGGCCGCGGAAAAAAATAGAGTAGAAAGTTACTAGAAATATTTCTAGTCGGATGAATTTGGGCACTCCTGTAGTAGCCCATACATTTCCTAAAATCATGGCGCGTTAATGGGCACGACTCTAGGAAGTACTGGTGGTTTAAAATTGGAAAGATACAGAGAATGAGAAGATTAGCATGGCCCCTGCACAAGGATGACACACATAAATAGAGAAATGGTCCAAGAAAAAGAAAAAAAAGAAAAAAAAAAAATCTCTGCAGGAACACCCGACACGGAAATACAGGAACACTGTACCTCCACAGTCAAACGTGTGGACACACTGAGCAACCCCCACAATTACTACACACACATCTACTATGGTATCTCACTCAAAAGCTCTGGGGGGCTGCGTGCGGGGGCAGTCTCAGTGGTCATCGGGGGTCGTAACCTCGAGCAATGCTGGCCGGTGCTGGAGCAAGGTGGTTCAACTCTGTAACCTAACCTGATGGGAGCATGAGGCCTGGAAGAGCGTCGGTTCGTGCTGAAAACAGTCATGCTGGTGGTGGTCGTAGGTGGATTGAATAAATTTCACCTATCTGATTTGTCGGTGGTTCTTATGAATGTCTTAGGACTCTACTAGGGACTCTAAGCAACCCATCCTAGGCGGTTTTCAAGCGGTTATACTCAGTGATCTGCAGCTGTTCGATGCCATAACGAAGCTGGCTGGTGCTGGGGTGTTGCCCTGTAACCTGCTGATGCAGGAGCATGAGGCCTGGGAAAGAGATCTGGGGATGCTTTGCGGTGGGCATCCCAAGGGACAGCCAAGGTTTGCAGCTGGGACGACGCTGGTCCGAGCTGGGGCGAGTTGTGTTGCCCTGTAACCCAGCAGGGTGGGGGCGTGAGGCCTGGATGTGCTCAGCAGGGAGTAAGACTGTGTTGGAAAGTCTTAGAAGGTCTTGAGGTCGTCTGCAAATTTTGGAACCGATCGCAAGAACTTGTCTTCAAGCAAGCGGGGGTCATCTCTGTTTCCTTTGACAGTAAAAGGAACCTCATGGCGGATGAGAAAGCAGGGTCATTGCAGACAGACAAACAGAGGTGGGGGAGTTTCTGCATACCCCCTTAGCAGTTCAGTCGATGATCGTTGGGGAGTTTCTGCATCCAATGGGTGATCACTTCGCGGTGCACAGCATAAGTAGAACTTGCTATAGATTGCGGTGCCTGTGACAAAAAAAACACATCCTCAAGCGGGGACCGTGTGATAAGCTCAGATCCGTACCGCGCGGCTTGCCGTATCCCTGAGGAAAAATCCCGCGGAAACCCGGAAGTACGGACGTGGATAGAAAGGGGTTTTTCTTTCTTTTTGCTTTTGTTTTCTTTTTGAAACGGCTTTTTCATTTTGTTCGGTTAATAACTCCCACGGGCGAATAGCGGCCGCGGTATGAAAACCAAGAAACGGGTGCGGTTGGGACTTTTTGAATTTTCGCGCGCGCGCCCAAGCTCCGGTTTCTTCGCGCGTCTTGCATCCCCGTTTCTTGCTTTGCATCCTCTCGCCATCTTCCCTTCTTGCTGCGCGCGTTTTCCCCATGCAGGACTCTTTGTCTTCCCCTACGCCCAGCTTGATCCTTACCCCGTCTTCCTCCACGAAGTGATTGGCTGCGTAGTTGGGATGCTCGGATCAATGTGGAAAGCGGGAAATCGCGCACCACTTGGACAAACACCCCAATCACGTAGCCATGCAATCCCGCGGATCGAACCCTCTAACTCCCCACCTCTCTCTCCTGTCCTGCTCATCTACACCCTGCGCTGCCTGCACCTCGCGCTGTTAACCCGCCGCCTCCCGCGCTATAAATTTGCGCAACCCTCTCCACTCCCTCTCTTTGATCTCGGCTGCAATGCTGCGCGAGAGTCCGCGGCGCGGAACAGGCTCGACGAGCCCAAGGACGGGCGGAGTGACGACGTGGGGTGGACCCCGCGGTAGTCTCGGGGCGAAGCAGTTGGAGGGACTGAGCAGTGGTGGGGATTGGACGCCGGCCGCGGCAGGGCCTTGTGGCTATGGTGGTCGGTGGTATTGGGAAGTTTTGAAGGCTGCGCCTGGGAGCAGCAGTTAATTGAATTTTTTGTGTACAAGAAGGACTTGCTTTTATCTCCATTGCTGCTTTGTCTATACGTGTCGTGTGTGTGAAGCCCCGAGTGATGGGAGCTGGTTATGCGCATGAGTGACGTCGAAGGTCCATGGATGATTAGATGTCCTGTCAAGGGTTGTTGATTGCATGCATGTATGTGTGTATGTACTCGATCGGGCAGGGATGGGGAAACTGAACTGGGGGACCGTCTGCTTAGGAGTATGAGTGTGTTGGTCCGGTTGTTCCCCTCCCCTCCGCGGCCTTTCCTGCGCTCTCGCGCGGGTTTGGCGTAACTCTCTCTCTCCCTTTTCGATCACCTTCCTTTTGAACTAACAGTCATCGCCTTTTAGAGCTTCTCTTCCCCGTACCGGTGACGTCAACCGCCTGCGTCCGCGCGGACGGTCGACGCCCCCGCCAAGGGGAGAAAGCTTCGATTTCGTCATCCTCCCCCTACGCACCCACTTTCGAAAGAGAAGAGTTGCGACGTTTGTTGTATGGATTCGGTGTTAGTTCGCATGACCGGGAACACGGGATCTTGCCCGTGTTCATCACGTACCTCCAATCGTCTCATTTCGCTACCGACCTTCCCCATCACAGATGACGACAGCGTCTACTGCGATGCGGACGTACGGCGTGCGCTGAGGCGGACGGAGCAAGTGTGTTGGCAAGACCCGCCTCGGGCTTTTGAGATAAGGGGGAATGGGTTTGTGTTGATTGATCACTTTGATTCCCCGACTCTAATATTGCCTTGTACGGGTTTAACGGTGTTGCCCTGGTTGGCCGCTCACGCCGCGTGGCGACCGCAATTTGATTGTCGCTAGTGTCGCAAGGGGAATCGTGTTCGTGGCGACGGCTGGTCCTGGGTTACGAGGGAGCGACACGTTTCCCCGAGCTTTCCCGTAGTGCAGGGGCGCTGCCCGCGCAATTTCGAATTCAGATGCCGGCGAGTCCTCCCGCCGCTTTACCCTCCCGGAAACTTTCGAGCGGGCTCTATGAGTCCGACGTCGAGGCTTGAAGGCCTCGAACCAACCACCTCTTCAGCAAAAGACCCAAGGGTTCTGCCACTTCGTGAGGCCGATGACGAGGCCTGAAGGCTTCGAACCCACCATCTATCCCCGGAACCCATGACGACCAAAGTTTTTGTCGTCTGCCGCCATGGCCTCCTCCCCTTGATGACTTTTCCCATCCCGATGCACGACGGCAATTCATTTTCACTGAAACCCTTCTGATTTTATCGTTTCGGAGTAATCCGACCCCCGCGGGACTTCGCGACGACAGTTCGACTTCGAGAAAAACCTCGGCCAAGAAACAAGAGCCTCCCGTTCCGTTCGGGAGACTCAACCCTTACGGCCAAAAATCCTCAGCCACGCCCCTTCCTAGAACTGTGATCGGCGACCCCGTACGGGAAGCTGCGAGGGGGCGTGAGGTTGGTATCAGAGCTGATTCGTTTCGGCTCCGAGGTTTTCCTAGGACGATTACCCTGTTTTAAAGTTTCTCCTTTTTCTTCATGATCTTTTCATTAGATTTTTCTCATTTTTTAGTAGGCTGGCTCCCCGTCGACGAAGGCCCACGAATAGCAATCAAAACCGAGCGAGAGGCCGGGCTCGAAACCGGCCTCCCGCGATGGTGGAACCCGGAATTGGGGGTGAAAACGACGACGATAACCACGAGGGGATGGCCAATCATCCCCTGTACTCTGTACCTCCTCCCTCCGAAGTTCCCATTTTTTCTGAAGACGACACCGATTCTCGCATCTCGCTAGCTGCCTTGAAAGCCCAGGGCTGGTCGGACCAGTTGCTCCGAGAACGAATTCCCGAAAGGTTAGCCGGAACTGCTTTTGAGTGGTACGGACAAAACTCCTTCACTAATTGAGCAGCCTTCCAGAGGAAATTTCTCGAAGGCTTTGATCACATCACACCTGGTCAATGCCTCCGTTTAATAAAGGAATACACACAGCAGCCTCGGGAGACCTTGGCTAGATATGCTGAACGTTTTACGTACCTAGCCGATCGCTCCGGGGTGGATGAGAAAATGGTACGGACTGATTTCGTCAGAGGACTGTCAGACTCTGATCTGCAGAAAAAAATCCGCAAGAAATGCAACCCTATAGAACATACCCTGACGGAGCTAATTCAGTGCGCAATTAAGTACGGGAAAGAAAATTACGATATGGGCCTGGACTCAGAATCCGACGAAGATGACCCTTTGGGTGTTCGACGCAATAGCTACTCCGCTACGACACGAACGTTCGAAGATCGCTCCGGGTTGGGACCGGCGAAAAAAGGCTCGGATCGGAAAGCTTCTTCCTCTGCTTCGGCCTCCCGTCGCTCTAGTCAAACGCAAGGAAGCCGGGGCGAGGAAGAAGCATCCATGAAAGAAGTCGCGGCCCAACTAGTTACGGTAGTAGCCCCGTTGATGGAATTTGTTCAAGGTCTGCAACGACACTCATAGCCGCCTATAGCTGCCGGAGCCCCTATGATAAGACCGACTGTGGCCGGGGCTGTCCCAACCCTACGCTGTTACAACTGTACTCAGCCAGGCCACCTTGCGAAAGATTGTCTGAAACCCCGAACTCAGAGCGGGCCCACCGGACCGTCCCAAATCGCGCTGGCTGCTCCCACCGCCGCAGGGCAGGGGAGGGTAGCCATGGTAATGGACACAAGAACGACGGAGATGGTGACCCCGGCAACCACTGAGATATGACCCGATGAGTATATGGCGGCAGCAATGTTCGAACCCGGGACCATCGGAGTGATACGTCACGTCCAACGGATTACCAAGGAAAGCGACGTCGGGCCGTGGCGACCAGGATTCTAGGATCTTGCGGTACCTGGTCCTGAATACAAGGATGGTCGTATCGACGTATTGGATGCCTTGAAGGCTCTGGATCTTCGGATCCCCGTCCATATTCCATATTTGCTAACCATTTCCGAAGCGGCTAACGAAAAGTTGATCGAACGGTGCCTCAAAAACAGGCGCCGATTCGAGGAAAGTCGAAAGGGCAAAAAGTCGGTCCTATGGGACCCACCCACTAACGAGGAGTCACAACCCTCGACCTTAGAGGTGCACAAAGCCAACTGGATAGGGATGATCCAGACCGTAGATTCTGCCTCGGAAAAACCCGAGGTATTCCTCCGGGTCTATCCTATAACCTGGAAAAGCGTAGAGTGTGACTGTGAGGTATGGGGTTACCCCTCGACCGCCATCCTAGACTCGGGATCATCGGCGGTCGCCATTTCTTGGAGATTGACGAAACAGTTGGGAAGGGAAGGACAGGTTCAGCCCCTCTAGCCGGATGAACTGTATATATAACCGCTACGAAAGATAGTATTCATTGTAAGGGGGGAATAACAAACGTGCCCATACAGGTGGGGCGGGTGCATTGTTTGTGTGAAGTGATAGTGCAGGATATATAGGCGTATGATGTTCTGCTAGGCATTCCGTGGCAGGCGGCGGTCGGTGCGCGAATGCACTTTGACAGCTGTAAGGTGGTGCTCACATCGGCCCACCCCAAACCCCAAACGATACCAATGAGACTGGCGGTGCGCATGTGCACCCAGCCGGCGCCTCGCCTCAGCACTAAAGCCCATCAAATCAACATGATCCGACGCCTGTCACCAGACGAAAATGAACCCTCGACGGAAACTCACAAGACTGATGCACCCGACTGATATCCGATCCGAGTACAGGATCAGTGGCGCCATTCTTGGCGGCGAGAACCACTAGAAATAGTTCGGAGTGAGTCCAATTGGTCGCACGTGTTCTCCTCTATGGTGCAGGGGGAACCCCTGCTGAGGGTGTCCCGAATAGCTGACCTTTCGGAACCCCCTGCGTCCTTGTATCTCTGGACGGACCCCCTACCTGAAAGATTTACCGAGCTAAGGGGGTTGTGCAATTTATCTTTTCGACCTCCACGACCCCTACTCACGAATGAAAGAGCCGCGATACTCCTGAAAGAGGGGGTGTCGTTTCAACCCCGAACGAGGGAGTATCGGTGGGGACCGAGGGAACTGGCGCAGGCCTTTTCGGCCGAACCATCGGCCGAACCCGAACTGGACAGTGACAGTGACATGGAAAGCGAGCCGATGAGTCCAGCGGACAACCAACTTATTGGGACGGTCTTTTCGGCAAAAACCCACAACTCTTTGTTTGGGGCCTCGCCCGATGCCAACGCGGCAGTCCCCACGGTTACGATGACGGTCTCCTTTCCTGGGGGAACCGTAGAAGTTCAGTTACCAGCCCGTGTTCCAGAAGAATACAAACACATCGTCTTGGCGGTTATACGGGCCTATCCTTAGGCCGTCAGCATTCAGGACCACGACATAGGGCTAACCCCTTTGATACAACACGCGATTGACACCGGGGATCACGCCCCGATACATTGCTGACCGTACCGATATTCCCTTAAAGAAAGGCAGCTGGCGTTGAAAAGGGTACGGAAATTCGAGCGGTTGGGGTGGGTCGAACCATCGCTGGGACCATGGTCTTTTTCCATGGTCCTGGTGCCAAAACGAAATGGCTCGGTTCGGGTATGTATCGACTACTGGAAATTGAACGCCATCACTACCAAAGATGTGTATCCCTTGACGCGAATCGATGATTTGTTAGATGCTATCGGGGCCGCTCGAGTTTTTTCCAAGTTCGATATCGGACACGGTTTTCACCACGTCGCAGTCCGACCGGAGGACCGACCCAAAACCGCCTTTGTCCTGTTTGAGGGCACGTGGCAATGGGTCCGGTGTCCCATGGGAATTTGTAACGCCCCTGCAACGTTTCAG